GCCCCCGCAGCCACAGGCTGATGGCACAGCAGGTGCCCGCCCCACACTGGATATCACGCTCACAGGCCTGCAGGGGACAGACGGGACAGTCATTAGTGCCGCCCAAGGCACGCCCGAGGGCAAGGTCTAGAAAAGCAAATGTCAGGACAGGGAGGAAGAGGCTGAGAGCTGGCCTCGGCTGACAGGCCCCCTTGGGAGGTAGTTATTGCCCCAGCTCCCCTCTTGGCCTCAGCATGAAATCCATCCTGGACGTGAGGACAAAATCCATCCTGGACGTGAGGACCCCTTCAAGTTCTTTTGAGGCTGCTCGATGGGGAGACGGTCCTTTTCTGACAAATCTAGGGATTAAGAGATACAGTTTTTCTAGCATGAATAGACGTGCTAGGATTGAATTCTTAGAATCCTCAGAGGTGAAACAGGCCCTGTGGCCTGAGCCCCTGGTGGTCAGTGGTCAGTGGTCAGTGCTGTCGCCTTGGACCGACTTCGCCGACCCTGACCCAGCATCCATGGCTGATGCCTCCCCTCCACACACATGAGTGCCTCCATAGCACTAGCAGGAAGCCCAGCCTCACCCGAGGAGCCAGCACGCTAGGGAACGGGCTTCTCTCCTCAGGCCTCCTCTGTTCACCCCCCTGGTCCCCGGTAGGGATGGAACCCTCCAGGTGGGGCTCCCAGGACAGGGGCTGGGTGGCCCTGCCTAGTTTCTGGAAAATGCCATTTGCAAAGAAGGCCACACAAGCCCAGGACCAAGGCCAACAGAGCCCTGACCGGCTCTAGACTCAGGTGGGGACTGAGAGGTTCCAGTGCCAGAGAAGCTCTGTGGCTTTCCTGAGCTGAGATTCAAAGCTGGGCTTGGTTCACTCCTCTCCAGTGGAGGCCATGGAGCACCTTCTGGCTGCCTGTGGCAGGAGCTGAGCGCTCCCACCTGCTCATTCCAGGAGGGAGAGGGATGTAGGTTCTTTCGTTACCCAGAGGAGGAGCAGGAGGCAGTCACCGCTGTGTCAGTCTGCAACCCAGCCAGCCCTGCTGCAAGCTCCAGATTAGGGGAAAGCAGGCCACTGACTCCTCCTGCCGTCCCACTCCAGAGACTGGCTCTGGAGGTAGTCACAGTCCAGGGTGCCAGGGACCGTGGAGCTGGTGGAAGCTGGCCTGATCCCGAGAGTCAGAGGTGGGACACCTGCAGAAGGTGGGAAGTGAAGGAGGCTGGGGACCACCGACATTCCCCCTTGCTCTCCTGCTGCGCTTTTCACTACGAAACTGTTTCCTCTGTCTGTCCTGCTGCCCCTCCAAGCCAGCTGTTGGGGCTGGCAGTGGGACAAGCCAGGCATCAAGACAGACCATGCTGCTCCCATCCCTCACTGTGGGGTAACTGTGGCTCCTCCTGGTTCTTGCCCTCCCAGATTTTCAAGCCAAGCAACAGGAGGATGGCCTCAGTGTCTGCATTCTTTAGGTATAATTCTGCCTTCCCTATTTTGAGCCTTTGGGGCTCAAAAGCATTGACTTGCCTTTAATATTTGTTCCTTTGAACTCAGTCTTTTCCCTTTAAAAAGGAGACAAAAGAATGATTTCCCTTTTGTGAACTTAAAACTAACCCAATTCCAGGAACTGTTTGGCATTTCTCTATATTTCTGCTCTCTATGGAAAAAGTTGGAAGAGGTTGAAATAAGTTCATTTCCCCTCTTTCTTTCCCCCTTAATTTATTTTATCTGAAAAGCTCTCAGGTAAAGCATTACTTTTTTATTTATTTATTTAGTTAGTTAGTTCTTCCATGAGCAAAAGAGAGAGAGAGAGCACCCCCAACAAGACCTTGATATGACCCACCCCAGCCTTCAGGCAGCTGGAGACACTAGTGATGCACTCAGGGAGGTCTCTAGACTTGAGCAGGGAGCCCTGCCATGTGGGGTGCCTTGCAGAAGTGAGGCATTTTATCACTGCACCACCACCTGGCCCCTGCTTTCTGTTTTCTTGTTGTTGTTTTTAGTTGTTGGGTTTTTGTTTCTTTGGGGGTTTTTTGTTTGTTTGTCTGTTTTATGCTATAGAGTACATGTGCTCACCAGAGAGAGAGATAGGGAGGGTGAGTGAGAAATCACCCCCCAGAAGGGATGGCCATGCTGCAATCCCTTTTTGGGACTTTGGGCACACACACACACACACACACCTTTTGGCCCACACACACACACACACACACACACACACACACACACACACACAGGCCTGAGATGATTTTTAAGCCACTGGATCCAGGACTCGAACCATGCAGCTAGCCCTGTGGGATCCAGTGCCTTAACCTCCATGCTACCTGCTGGCCTTGCTTTCAGTTTTATTTATCTTTATCTTTTCTTTTCTAAGGTTTTTGTTGTAGAATGTCTGCACTCTCTGGAGAGACAGAAGGAAACAGTAAGAAGGAAAGTGAGAAATCACCCCCTAGGAGAAACGGCCACACCACATCCCTTCTCCTCCATTCTCCTCCTGGGACTTTGGGCACACATGCACATGCACCTGGCATGATTTTCAAGCCGCGAGGTCCAGGACTCAAATTGCAGTCAGCCATGTGGGAGTCTAGCACCTTACCCACTATGAGGCCTGCTGCCTCCCCCCTTTCTGCTTTGATAAGAATATTTCCACCGCTATAACTCAACGTGTGCCTCATTTGCGGATGGCTCAGGGTAAAACCAAGCATCTAAGAGGAAATCACGAACGAAGTGTTTTGAACACACAGTGCCCACAGCCAAACCTCTGCGGAGACTGGGTTTTTACCTGTCATCTGCACGCTTGCTTTTGGGTACACTGGGCAGAATGTTGGCTTCACCCATATTTCTCTTATTCCTCTCTGAACCAACTGGGCACAGAGAAGAGTTTCAAGAGATTTTTTTTTTTCTTAAGAGCAGAGGAAGCAGAGGTTAAACTTATGCAATGGAAGCTAAGAAGCTTCCCACCTTTAATTAAGCTTTCTGTCTTATGCCATGTAAGTTCATTGACATTTGGACCAGACTGTATATGAAAACCAAAATTACACCAAAAAAAAAAAAAAAAGTTATGGGGTGCTAATCCACTTTGTAAAGGAATTCCTTATTACATACTAGGAATCTTCATTTTACGAAAGGACAGGATTTCGAAATTGTCGATGCCCTCCTGATGCATTTAAAACAAGATTTGATTTACACACAGCATCTCTAAAGCACATCCTGTTTAGCAGAGCAAGGTCTCACAGATCCGAAAATCACACGCACTCCCTGTCTGAGGTCCTGCCCGATGGCTAGCTCCCTATTCTCCTTGGCTGGTGGTGTGTCGAGCCCACAGAGCTGCCTGTGGGGTGTTGGGCTCATGTTCTAACAGACCCTGAATCTCCCCAAAGCCCAGGGCATAAGAACATATGAAACAACTTACCCCCGTGATCACGGCACAATCAGACACAGTAAGGAGCAGGAGCACGAGCGAGACTTGGAGAACACCTTTCATGGTTACTTGGGGTGAAGGCAAGTCGCTGCCTGTTCCAATGCCACTCACTTCCTCCCACCCAGCCTTGTGCTGGGGAGCTGGGAAGGCCAGGTTCTCCTGCTGCCCTCTCTCCTCCCAGATTTATAAAGTCGGATCCAGGCTGCCTGTGGATGCCTTGTCTTTGCTCTTCCCTTCCCCATCATCGGTGCTATTCAGATGATCTCAGAGGCGAAGATGAGACCTGAATCCCTAACACCAAATCACCATCAAAACCAATACAAATGGATGCATCGGGGGCTTTGACAGTTGCTCTAACTGTCTCAAGAAGGCGGTGATGCAGTCAGTTGTGTATATTTCACTCAATATTCATCTCTGCCTCAGAGCATCCTTCTATCCTGCTTGGAACAGGGGAGGGCTTTGGTAATGAATTTAGGAATTTGCACCATCATCATTTATCCCTCCCTGCACCAAACCACACGACACGCAGGATTATTGGCTCCCTCACACTCGAGCTGGCGGAATTATCTGAACATTTCCGTGGGCTCAACGAGGAGGGAGCAAAAAAAGACACAAGTGGGTAAGGTGGTGTCCCTGTTTCTCTGAAAGGTTAAACCTCCAGTGAGGAGACAGGAGGCCATGAGGAAAGAAGCTCAGGCTTGTGGGGATGCTGTTCCCGAGCAGCACACATGTAAGCACTTGCTCTCCAAGGGGCTCAGGACTAACTGAACAAAGGGCAAAAGGTCAGCGAGTTCATAGATCCCTCTCTCTCTGGGCTCAGCATTCTGCAGAAGGGCGAGCTTGAGCTGGCGTGCAGCTAAAAGGTACCAGGAGCCACACAGCTGGCCTTCCCGTTTATAGAGTGTGTGAGAGTGGCCTTATTTGGGCTCAGATGCCAGTCTGGGGAGAAGCCGACTTTGGGCCTCACCCCTTCTGCTGAGAGAGAAGCCCCTGGTGCCAGCTTGCTCTCTGCCAGACAACACAGAGAGGGCTCCTGAGTCCTCACCAGACAATCTGACCTCTTTCCACCACAGTGAAAGCCAGGGTCTCCCGACACATGCCTTGCAACACTTTAATAGGTGTTACACACACAGGTTTATAAAGGATTTCTATAGTCCAAGGTTTGGAACACATCAAGTAACACAACTTTTTCTGCAGGACTTTTCAGAGCCTTTCAAGTGCTGAGAAATACTTAAAATGCCAAGTGGAAGATGCATGAATAGATTCATACACAAAACCCTTTTTTCTCAGAGTATTTCATGAGGATAGGGTTTCCAGAGGGACGTGTTGACAGGCATTTATGAGCGCAGAGAGAAAGATGAATGAACACGGCGGCTGGAGCTGGTCCCCAGAGACAGACACTTTGACTCTGACCCCAAATCAATCACTGGATTCATGACCTTAGAATATTGCTAATCTCTCTAAGCCTCAGCTTTCTTATCTTAACTCAGTAATAATAGCACTTATGCCGTGAGGATCTGTGAGTGTTCATCCACTAATTCATTGACTATGTATTTACCAAGAGCTTGTTACATTGAAGGCACCATTCTTGGAGCTGGGAATATAGTGGTGAACAAAATGAGGACCGTGTTTTCATGTAACTTCACCTCTATCAGGCAATATACAAATGAACATGGGCCAGCAGATAGCGTAGTGGTTAAGGCACTGGAATTTCCATATGGCTGACTGCGGTTCGAGTCCTGGACCTGGCACCTTGCTTTCTCACTCTCCCTCTCTCTCTCTGTCTTTTTTCTGGCAAAACTCATGTAAAAAAAAAAAAAAAGACAGTAATAATGATAAATAAATAATTATTTTTAAAAATAGACAAACACGCGCACGTACTTGTACTAAAATGGCTAGGTGTGCCGAGCACTGTTGAAAAGGAAGGCAGGGAAGGCTTCAGAACACTAGGACGGGTGGTATTTTGGATGAGCTAAGGATCTTGCTCACCTTTAGGACAGAGGCCTAAGAAAGTGAAGGAGAGAGCTGGGCAGAAACTGGAGGAAAAACCAGTGCCAAGGCCCTGTGATAGGGCTTCTTGGACAGATCCAGGAGAAGCAAGGATCTTTTCTTCCTCTCTGGGAGAAATGTGACTTAGGAAGATGACAGCATTTTGCTGGGACCTTGGAGGAACTTATAGAACTGGCCTCTGGGTGCCCTGCCCAGCCTTCCCCCTCACACAGGTCCCCTTCCAAGAGACAGGTGACAAGGGAAGGGGGGTGCAGCTGCAGCAGGAGCCGGAGTACAAAGCCTGCCGCGCCTGTGGGACATGGTAGGAACCTGACTCCGAGTGCAGTGGGAACCCTTGGAGGGCCTGGAGCAGGGACAGGCAGGATCTGATTTCTACTTTGAAAAGATCCTTCCTACTATGGGGGGAGAATTAGTGAGATGATGAGAAATGTTTAGTGCAATGCCTGACACACAGCAGCATTCGCTGACTATCGGCCATTTTAACCATAAACAGATGAGCCTGTCTGTCCTAAACATAAAATTTCCTTTGAGGTGAGAATAGAAAGGATAAGCCTGGAGACCAGCAGAAGGCATAATGGTTACGTTGCTGAATTCCCACATAGTTGACCGTGGTTCAAGTTTCAGACCCGGTGGCTTAAAACTCACGCCGGGCGTGTGTGCGTGCATGCCCAAAATCCCAAGAGGAGAATGAAGGAGAAGGGGATCTTGCTCACCTTTAGGACAGAGGCCTAAGAAAGTGAAGGAGAGAGCTGGGCAGAAACTGGAGGAAAAACCAGTGCCAAGGCCCTGTGATAGGGCTTCTTGGACAGATCCAGGAGAAGCAAGGATCTTTTCTTCCTCTCTGGGAGAAATGTGACTTAGGAAGATGACAGCATTTTGCTGGGACCTTGGAGGAACTTATAGAACTGGCCTCTGGGTGCCCTGCCCAGCCTTCCCCCTCACACAGGTCCCCTTCCAAGAGACAGGTGACAAGGGAAGGGGGGTGCAGCTGCAGCAGGAGCCGGAGTACAAAGCCTGCCGCGCCTGTGGGACATGGTAGGAACCTGACTCCGAGTGCAGTGGGAACCCTTGGAGGGCCTGGAGCAGGGACAGGCAGGATCTGATTTCTACTTTGAAAAGATCCTTCCTACTATGGGGGGAGAATTAGTGAGATGATGAGAAATGTTTAGTGCAATGCCTGACACACAGCAGCATTCGCTGACTATCGGCCATTTTAACCATAAACAGATGAGCCTGTCTGTCCTAAACATAAAATTTCCTTTGAGGTGAGAATAGAAAGGATAAGCCTGGAGACCAGCAGAAGGCATAATGGTTACGTTGCTGAATTCCCACATAGTTGACCGTGGTTCAAGTTTCAGACCCGGTGGCTTAAAACTCACGCCGGGCGTGTGTGCGTGCATGCCCAAAATCCCAAGAGGAGAATGAAGGAGAAGGGATTGTGGCCTGGCCATCCCCCTGGGGAGTGGCCTATCTCTCTGTCTCTTTCTTTCTCCAGCAAGTGTAAGTGCCCTATAGTTAAAATCTTTCTTTAAAAAAAAAAAAAGAACGAAAGGGTGAGTCTGAAGAGTCCATCTGTACATTATGAGTCTGAGCCAGGCTGGGACAGAACTGAGAGATCACTTCCACCCATCAGGAACTTCCACCCTGGAGAAAAGCAGCCAGGGGAGAAGGAGCATTTTGCTGGGTGCTTGGAGGAGCTCATAGACATGGCCCTATGGGCTCTGAGTGCCCTGCCCAGACCACCCCTCCACACACACAGACGGCCTTCCAAGAGACAATGTTCGATACTGCCCGATTCCCAGGTGAACATCCCCCACTCCCACCACCCCTTCTCACCTCTCCCTCCCAGTGCCTCCCCACAACACACAAAACCAATCAAGCCACAGGATTGCAATAAAGAATGGAAGCAAGAAATACCATAGCAGAACAAAACCAATAACATTGATGCAAAGTATTTTATTTCTTTTAAATACTAGTGCTTGAGGAAATGCCAGTTTAATAAAAGGAGGGTGAGGCATAACTGTGACCTGGTGGAAATTCCCAAAGAGACCTTGGGCAGCCTCGGTGACTCAAGTAAGCAAACGTTTGCTGGGTGCCTCGCATATGTCGGGACCGTTGATTACTGGGTCTCATTTCTCTGCAGACCCCCGAGATCTCCTGTTTCTGTACACAGCCGATTTCTCAAAAGTCTTGACACATATTGGCCATGATTGAGGTGACTTTTTGGGTGACACATGTAGTATGGAAAAGGAGAATGAGAAGAATTCCCTGAACTAAGCAGGCAGGACCAGGAGGAGACCTAGGAGGGAAGTCGGAGGTGACGTAAGGTGAGGCGTGATGGAACAGGGAGAAGAACGGTAAAGCGTACTTGGTTCCCTTGAAGGAGAAGGCGGCGGTACAGATGTGCCTGGCGGACCTTTCCCAGACTCCTACACACCTCGGAGGGAGTGGGGCAGGTGGGCAGCACGTGACGTGCTGGTGAGCGTTCAGACGAGAGGGCTGCAGGCAGGTGATGCTCATAACTTAGGCCTGGCTTTGATTCCTCTGCTTTAGTTGATGTCAAGGTCCCCATTTTCCAGGACCTTTGTACACGAGTGTGTGTGTGTGTGTGTGTGTGTGTGTGTGCACGGGCATGTGTGTAGACAGGGCCACTCTGATGGCGAGCACAAGGCAAACCCTGGGATAGAAGTCCAGGCCTAGGCCACCCCTGATCTAGTACAGTCTCCCAAATCATCCTGATGTCATTGTCATTGTTCTATAAACTAGAAAGGGAGTCCACGTCCAGGGCCTACCTTCCCTGGCCGCAGCGAGGACTTCTTGTGTCAATGTTGGAGCACAGTTACTAATATGTGCTCACTTTATTATTGATTCCTTGCTAATGGTTAAATAAGAATGGATCCTGTCCCATTTTAGAGAAAGATGAAAATGAAATAAAAGATAGAACAAAGGAAAACCAAGAATCCAGAGCAGGAGTTCTTAACCACAGGTCCCAGCGCCGCCAAGAGTTCCTGCACAGAATCCAGAAGATCCATGAACCTGGGTAGAGAGAGAAATAGCATCTTCGTTTTCACTAACTG